TTCCTGATCTCGTTGAAAGAAGCCGTGCTCCGATGGTTTAATAGCCCGACAGATGAAATCATCCCTTCTTCAAATTCTGGAAGCTCTTACTGGCACAATTAACTAATGTGCAAAAACTGAGGAAAGATATAAAGGCCCTGCTTTAGATCATGTAGGGGAGAATGAAATCCTACTGGCTTACAACACCCATTTTCAGAAGGAAATGTCAGAGGTGAAGAGCTTGGAGCCTCTCATTGCCTGGGACCTCCCTAAAGTAGGGTATCCACAACAAGCGATTCGGGTATGACCTGAACCTACTCAAGCCAATGACCTTCACAGAGGTATTGAAATTAACAAATGACCACATTGCTGTCGAAGAAGATCTTATGGAGGCGTCAAAAACTAATCCGAGAGCATTCGACAACCGATCGCAGAAACATAAAGGACAATATGATAGGAGGCCAAAGGGAGATTGAGCCCCTGACGACCAACAAATCAACAATCTTCAATCTTAGGATGTCGAGGTAGCAATGGTCGGTGATATCGTCCCGACCATCAGTCTGCTTATGAGCGATTTCATGTGTATCAAGAAATGCAAGGATCGACACCCATAAATATCTCTCCCTCCCTCTCCCTACTCTAACTCTCGAGGCTTGTATTTTCGAAAGACAATTCGTGATCTAACATCATTGTTTTTTTTCAGAGCTCTTATTGTTTGCTTGTCTTTTATGTAATATCTTTTCTCCATTATGATTTTTTCCCTTTTGACCTCTTTGAGTTAATTTATAACTAACTTTTTCTATAATAAAAACTAATCTTGGCCCTCAAAATTCCAGAAAAAAAAAGATAAAAAGCTCTAATTTGAATGTCCATTCTTTCTAACTGAGTGCAGAATTTTAATTTTTTTTTTCAAAGATTCTATATTATAATTGAGGCGAGCTTACCATCCACCAAAGCCTCTAAATGAACCAATGCCCTCGATAAATACTTCAAGTTCTGCTCAATCATCTTTGCTCAAATTAGTAAATAAATAAATTTGAATATTTTTAAATTAAAAAAATAAAGATTAAAGGAGCTAGATTTGAATATAATATAATTCATTCATGAATATCCACGGTCAAATTTATTTATCGTTCAACAAATAATTTTTTAATTACTCTATATTTATATTTAAATATAAATAAATTAATTAAAATTTATTTAATTATATATTTAATAGTATCATATTTTAATTTAATCTCAATATGCATGTAAGTTTAATACATTTTTTTCTTTTTCTTTTATTTTTGATGAACTAGTTTGTTAGTCTTTATTGATATAATTTGATTACAAAAAAATCTACTTATAACTTATGTATTATTTTATTTACTTCATATAAATTGGTTTGATGATAATTTAAAATTTATTTAATTGTTTATTTATTTAAATTTATAAAAATACTTATTAATAAATTTATTTTAAAAATCAAGTATTCACTCAAATATTTAGCTTAGTTCACTAATTTTCTATGAAACAATAAGTACATACTAAATCTTTCATTTTATATAAAATTAAATACCCATTTGAGTTTTTAATTTGTTCAATTAATATATGAACAAATTAAGTACAAATCAAACATATATCTTATTAAATTTATGCAAACAAAGTATGAACATGTATGTTAAAACTCGGCTCAAGCTTGAATTGAACATGAACAACTAATGATTTGACTAAATCAAATCCAATCCATGACATACTTGACTTGACTTAGCTCGGTTACAACTCTACATCCACCTTATAAATTAGATTTAATTTGGCTGTACTAGAAAGTATTTGTGGATTTGTATTATATTTAAATTATTAAAATTAATCTAACATATACTTAATAAGCTAAAAAAAATAAGGAATTGTAGGCTTCTTTTATAAATAACTAACTTTATAATTTCAAATAAATAATTGAATAAATTTAAAATAAGCATTTAATCTTTGAAGCCAATCAACTACACAAATAAAAATTGAAGGGACATTTACATGCGCACCACCCAATTCTTATGTATTTACATATCTAACAACTTAACTTTGTTTTTTATATTTATAAAACACTAATCTTTCATATTTGTTGAATCCTTTTAGCATTTAGGGGCCCATATTGTTTGATAGTACATACAACTTAGTAAATATCTTATCTTTAAAAGGAATGTGTCTCTTGAATTACAACATTTCCGAGAGAGAGAGAGAGAGAGAGAGAGAGAGAGAGAGAGAGAGAGAGAGAGAGAGAGAGAGAGAGTCACTTGACTTCCATTTTAAACATAGTGGAGAAGAAAAAAAAAAAAAAAAACAAAACATTTTGTATAATACTGTACCCAGTTGTAGTGTCTTGGTGAAAAGAGTGACATGGACGTCAGACGACACTTTTAAAGAAAAATTTTGATGTTCTTGCAAATAATGATGATCATATCTGATAGTTGTCCCCCCAAGATGGGCTAGATCGCCCTTGCGGGAGAGATAAATCTAGGTGTTTTGCAAAGTGGGCTCAGTTCAACCACTTTGGTAGAATACCTTAGTTTAAGAAAATGGTTTGATCTCTCAACAAAGGCTTAAGAGGCTTGCAAGGCTTACTGACCTTAGTATAAAAAAACTGAATTTATGTATTTAGTCATAATTTTGTATACAATATCACATCAAAATAACTCCCACTTTAATTTTTAAAAAGTGATACACATTTTATGCATACGGTGATATTTATGTAAAAATTGAATTTTGAGTGTTAGATATTGTATACTCAAATTTGGGTATCTAAGTGTTTTTGCTAAAAATTTCTCTCATTGTATCAAGCTCACATGTCAAAGTGGTTGAATCGAATCCACTAGCGAAAATGCTTGATCTAATCATCTTCACCTTCCTCGAAAAAGATAACCCACCGCATTTGTGCAAGGGCAACGATTTAAGGAAGGCATCATGATTAATAAGGGCATCCATTGATTGTTTATTACAGATAACGGACACAAAGGATCTAGTCCTTTAGCCACATCTGATACTAGCTGGCAATACGTAGTATCAACATCACAATCCTTCCATCAAAACGTGATACAAAGACGTTGAATTAATTCTAAAATGTATTACACTAATTAGTTTGTAGGTTCTCTCTGTTATTTATAAAAAGAGGGAATGAAGATCATAAGAGTATTTTTTTTATTTTTCTCCTTCTCCGAGAAGATTTTTTATCTTGTGGTTTCTAATTCTCCCTCTCTTAATCCAATAATCGAGGGAAACTTCGAGGAATCATCTTTTTTTTGGCTTGTCGGAGATTTGTAATTAATATATTTGTCAAGAGTTTCTCAAGTAGATCGGATTATCTCTCTCTCTCTAAGCACTCTTTCTAAGATACAAATCTTTTCACCAGATTGTATGTAACTCACACATAATATAGGACCCTACATCTAAAAAGATTTACTAGATACATAAACACAAAATAGAAATAATAATGTTGCAATAGATCATCATAAAGGTTCACTATTTAAAAATTAATCAATTTAAAAATAAAAAAAATACTAAATTAAAAATATAAATATATATTTATATAAGAAGCATTTAGTGAGATAAGCTCAAATATAGACTTACTGCAATTTACAAAATCAATAAGAAATAATATGCTTCAAATTCTACTGTCTAATCGACTAACATTAATAAACTACACACACACACAGATTATATATATATATATATATATTACTCCTACGCACGAACAAGCTACTTCATAAAGAATAAATCTTTTGCTATCATCATATAAGCATGGGCACAAGAAATCCTTTTGTGATAGGTATTATATTTAACGAGGAATAACTTCATTACTTTGGCCAGTGTGTGTGTGAGCGTGCGTGTTTTACACACACACACACACACACACACACACACACACACACATCCCATTCATTGCAAAACGAGTATATTATATTAATTTATTCAGAAGAAAATGGGCACAAGTCTAAATAAAGACACAGGGCGGTCTGTTTTCCATCAGCACCACTGCAGAAATAACATTAACATATCGTCGCTTTGATGAGCTAAAAAGTCGTGCATTTGCGTGACTGACAAATGTTCAGACAACAGAATTTTAAATTTGAATCGAATTAGTAACAAAATATTAAGCGTGCATGTCAAGTGATTACTCTGCACAAGGATTCTAAGACTACAAACTAAAAAGCAATAAATAAATGCTTTATTTGGTTTGGAATAAGTTTTATTAGATTAAATCCACTCGAAATCATAATAATTTGTCATAATTAGTCTGAATTAAATAAAGTAAAGTAAATGGGATGCAGTGATTATTTGAAATTACACAGCATTACATCTTTATTTTACTGAATTATGATAGTAAAATTTTTACTGTATGGTAAAAGAGGATAAATAAAATGAAATATAATAAAAGAAATCATCAATAACAAATATTTATTAAAATAATAACATTGATAAATATAATGTCATAATAATGATTTCCACTATGCAGTACTTTTCGTAGATGGAAAGGGTAAACAGTTCCTACACGCTTTGTCCGACCAAAAATGAGTTGGTATCATTGTGAGGAGAGGATTTATCAATACTTATTTGCTGAAAATAGATGCCTATTAATGGGAGGGAATAAATAAATATGAGATGAATTATAAAGGGAGAAAAATGATATATTTCACTTATAATATTCATTCTGTTAATCTCTCTCTCTCTCTCTCTCTCTCTCTCTCTCTCTCTCTCTCTCTCTCTCTCTCTCTCTCTCTCTCTCTCTCTCTCTCTCTCTCTCTCTCTCTCTGTATATATATATATATATATATATATTACTAATAAACAGCACATGCTAACGCCTGGATTTTAAGTTTTACCATATGTTATCTATTAGTTTCAACTTTAGACATAACTGACAAAGGATTTCTATTTGTAGGCATACAAGATAAATATAAGAAAATTTCATGAGTGAAATAACCATTATAATCATAAGATGGTCAAGATACATCTCAGATTACACACTTACAAGTGCAGATGACTGCAGAGAAGATAATCAAGATTCTTTTATTATATTTACTGGCCAAAACTAAAATGCATCTAAAAGTACACAGGAAACATACAGAGTAGAATATTAAAATGCTATTTTTATTAAATCGTTAGACCTCATACCTGAATCCGGATTAATTTTCTTACTTGCAATTTAGCCCAAGCTATATGATGGAGAAGGCAGGTTAATGACGGTGCTCTTGACCTTGATCATCATGTTTATGCTGTTTGTGATTCCCTGTGAACCAATACCACTCTCCTTCAAACCCTGAATCAACAAACAAATAACAAGTTAGAGGTAGGTGATCATTTTGTGATTCTGTTATCAGAACAATAGGTTTAAATCTTCAGCATTTAACTGAAATTGTGTTTCGATAAGTTAAAGGGAAAGGAAGATGGGGCGTGCCTGGAAGGGGAAATGGTCAGGTCCTCGAGCTGGCGCAGAGTTGATCTGAACAGTGCCAGTCTCCATAGCGTCACTGATCATAATAGCTTTATTGATATCCCTTGTGAAGATGGAACCCTGTTGATTTGCTCATTTTAGTAATGAAATGAACAGTAGAGTTCATACAGATTTCTCATATTTTGAATTTCAAACATTGTACTCATTGAGCAGAGAAGAGTGTGCACCAGTGATCTACTAAGTTATGTAGTTAATTTTGAAGCTACGGCTGCTACCCTTTCCCAAGCAGAAAAAGAAAGCAGGCCTTCCAGGGCATGCTTCGAAGGCTATTATATGCAAATTCGCTAAGTACATATTTCCCTAAGTAAAAGAATAATAATCTGCTGTCATTTCCCATCAATACTTTTTGCTGTTTTTCCTTGGTCGGTCAACTAATTGAGCCTTCTATCCTCTAGTTGAACAGCAGTTTGCTCTCGTCTTTGAAATAAGATACATAATAGTCTTCCTCTATATTGCTTTAATTGTTTTCATTTTCTTTATTATTTCAACATGGTCAGCATCTCAATTAGCTCTTGCTTGAAAAATCATAGTGCACAAAGGTGTAGATTTCTCAGTCATTAATGGTTGTAGAGAAACCACAGCCATGTGTTCCTCGTTCCCATCAACAGGTTTGTCAACTATACAAGAGGGCGGTCTCTCTCTCTCTCTCTCTCTCTATGGGGGGACCATCTAGGAGCAGAAAGTTAGGGATACTTCCCTATCGTTTTTCTTAATCAGTTACCCTCTCTCTCTCTAGGAGGGACCACTAGCAGCAGAAGGTTGGAGATACTTCCCTTTCATTTTTCATCACTTGTGAGCAATTCGAATGTTACAGATCAACAACTGAAAGCAGAAACCATATGGAGGTAAGCGCAGAACCACACTAAATTCTCAGTCTCTTATATAGTTATGTTAAAACTCTGAGTTCACTACTACCAAACTTCAGAAATCTGACTCAAAAGTTCACTTTATAATCATCCTTTTCTTTGGCAAACCGATAGATATCCCGCAACTAATTTTACCCATTAATACTACACTTTTTCAATCAATATCAAAATGAGATGCTAAAAAGGTGTATAGCCAACTCTAAATAAATCTCGATGCACCTATAATAAATATAGGATAAAACAAATAAAAAATATGATTGTAAATTCATTTAATAAAAAAATTTGAAAAGACTCGATCATGGATTATTGACTCAAGATAATATGATCATATGACCGAAGATATCTTCTTATTTCACAAAATACATATTTGTTCCAAAAATACTTCTCTGTAAGGATGGTCGTCTTTTTCAAGATAATATTTTTTTCATCTCCAATAACAAGTGTTAAAACAATCAAAAACTTCTCAGAATCAACAATCCAAAATTCTATACTGCTAATTCCCAAACTTTATCGCAATCTACTATCTATCACCATAATCAAAGAATATATAAATTGTGTTACTGTATATTTCCTTAATAAATTTGAAGTTGTAATCTCAGAAAGGAAGATTTGCAATGCTAAGAAAATACTGAACTCTAACTCATGTGTGATGAAAAAAAATCAAGAATTACAAACTAAAAATATGGTAAATATGAATCTTTTGCTACAAAGAGTGCAATTATGATATGGCACCTCCTTCATAGTTATCCAAACTCGAAGCATCTCAACAAATTATTCTAATATTTATTTACCAAAAAAGTATGAAGCCATTTAAGCGTAAAATATGATAACTAACAAAACACTCCGGGAACAACCTATTCAAGCCATCTCTAAAAGCCTATTAACATTTTTGTATCTTTCATCGCATAATCTAGGGGGCTTGAGTAGTTTACATCGTTTGTTGCTGACTACGTCAGAGCTTATTGGATTTGTTTCATTACTAGATAAAAATTCAAAGACTCATAACTGACATTAAAAAGGATATTTTAATATTCAAAATACTCATAACTGACATTAAAAGGGATCGGGATCGGGCTCGGTTAGGGCTTGCGCGCGACGGAGAAGAGGCAAGCCATCTGGGAGCGTGCGTGAGTTAGGTGAAATAGGTTTTAAATATATTTGTTTTTTTATTTTAATATTCGAAAGCCCTAATTTACACATTTCTGGCTCGGACTTGTCATCAAAATGCAATGGATGTCCCCTCTAGCTAAAATTGACGTCCCAGACGCACCAAAACAGTCGTTTCGTCATCCGGGGTTGTTTGGACAACCTCGTCGACGATCGAGACAAAAATATGTCAAATTCAATTTTCTTCAAATTTTTGGTCTGTGATCGATCGTTTTCGAAAATTGATTTAAGTTCTGATTAATTGTGAAGCCTTTACAGGTGTAGATGATCTGAATTTTGGTGTTTATGTGTGCGAAAATTGCGGTACACCACATAACAGAATCTCCTAATCTAAAGGGTTTTCCTAGGGCTTTCTCGATCCTTACAGGAACTCTCTCCGAGTCTCCACATGGTGGTCCTTGACTACTAAACCAAATGATGATGGTCCATGAACACAACCACTCGATCAAATGATGATGGTTTGAGATCACCCATGCAAGATATTGCAAGAGAATCAGGAAGTGGTTTGAATTTCTAAAAAAGGTGGGTCCTAACACTAGTCCTCTAGAAGAGTCAATACGGGAAATCATAAGTCTAGATCCTAGGCTCAATGAAGAGGAAGGAAAGATCTCGTAAATTAATTATCAAAAAAACTTTTACAACAGTTGCTCAGTTCAATTCAACGTAAATTATTCGCTCTTACTGTTAATTGTGAAAAGCTGAGAAGTTCAGCTCCTCTCCATGGTGGGTCAGCCAACTTCTTCACAGAATCATGGAAAGATTTGATTAGAGATATCTTTGAAAACACATTTCTTAGTTTTATTCCCTTTCTATTTTTTGTTTCTTCATTTTTTATTTTAGAATTATTGCCTTTCCTAATTTATACTATATATATTTGGTAAGTTTGCAAATTAGGAGGGATTGATTTCTCTCTCTATATATGTACCCTATATGTGAATAACTGGAGAAGTATTTTTCCTCCACAAAAAATCCCTTTCTCCCAAAGGAATGATCGCCACTAAGTTTAAAATCAAGGACTTATGAACCATGAGATATTTTCTAGGTATGGAGGTTGTGAGATCCAAGAAAGATATCGTTAAATCACAGAGGAAATACATCATAAATCTACTAAAGGAGATATGGATGATTGGATGCAAGCTTTCTGTACTTTAATGAATCCCAAAAAGAAGTCTAATAGGGAAGAAGAAAGTGTACCTAGATAAGCAAAAACATCAAAGATTGATAGAAAAGCTATTCTTATTGTAACATACGTGACCGTATATTGTATACTCTCTTAGTATTGTGAGCCAACACATGAATAACTCAAATGATGAGCATTTGGAGATGATGTCAAGATTTTGAAGTTTCTCAAGAAGACTCCGGGTTAAGAATTAATTTTTGAGAAAACGATAAACAAAGAAGTTGAAGTCTACACCTATGCAATCATGTAAATTGTGTCGGAGAACTCACTGACACAAGGTCAAACACAAATTATTGCTCATATGTATGGAGAAATATTGTTACATAAAGAAGTAAGAAGCAAGTTGTTTCTAGAAACAATGTTAAATTAGAGTATATTGCAATCGCCTTAAAAATCTATGAAGGGATCTAGTTTAAAAATTATTAAAGGAATTAGCGTGTACCTCCAAAAGGCCTATACAAATATTTTGTGACAATCATGCAACCAATAATATTGCCAAAAATCTAGTGCATCATGATAGAACCAAACATATTGAAATTGATAGGCACTTTATGTATAAAAAGTTTAATGGTGGAATTATACAGCTAAGCTACATCTCGAAGCAACAAAAAGTTGTCGATGTCTTAACCAAAGCTTTTCCTTTAAGCACCTTCTCAGAGTTCAAGACAAGCTTGGTCTCTAAACATCTACGATCCAGCTTGAGGAGTGTGGAAACTGAGAAGTCTGACTCCTATCTATGGTGGTCCGACCGACTGCTTCAAAAAATCAAGAAAAAATATGATTAGCGATATCTTTGGAAACAACTTTCTTAGTTTTATTTCCTTCCTATTTTACGTTTTTTTTTTTTATTTCAAAATTATTTTCTTTCTGACTAGATATATTTGGTAAGTTTGTAAAGTAGGAATGACTGGTTTATTTATATATATGTACCTTACAAGTGAATAATTGGAGAAGTATTTTTCCTCCCAAGGTTTGTTTTCTACACTAACTTAGTTTGTTCATCAACTTGATGCAAAAAATGACTTCCTCAATAAAGATCTTGAAGATAAAGCTACATGACCACATCACTTGAATTTGAGGCCATTGACGATAAAATCTACCAACTCATGAAATCTTTACATAGTCTAAAGCAAACACAAAAAGCCTGGTTCAACAGATTCACCACAACAGTTAAAAAGCATGGGAATACTCGAGGAAATTCCAATCATACTCTATTTGTCAAGGACTCATCAAATAAAATTATGATCCCAATTATTTATATTGATAATATCAACTTAATCGAGAACAATGATGAAGAAATTAGCAAATAAAAAAGAATCCTGGCAAATAAATTTGCGATTAAGAACTTTGGAATCTTAGAATATGTTATAGCAAGATCAAAGAAAGATACGTCCCTTTAAAAAATTATAACTTGAATCCCCTAATTGAAATTAGCATAATAAGAAGCATTATAATGTTTACAGATACTGATTGGGTAAGGTCTAAAACTGATCATAAATTGGCTACTGCTCATTTGTATGGAGAAACTTAATCGCTTTGAGACGTAAGAAATAAACAACTGTTGTTAGAAATAGTGCTGAACTAAATATCAGGGCAGTGAACAATAGAATTTACAATGGTATATGGTTTAAAAGTTTTTTGAAAACCTCAAGATCAATATGAAAGAATTGATGATGATGATGATGATAGTGATGTACGATAACCAAAATACAATCAACATAGCTAAATAATATGCCCACCATAATTGGATTAAATGATCTACACTTCATAAAACAGAAAATTAAACAAGAAATTATCGAATGATCTATACTCCTATAAAATATCAAATTGTATATGTATCCTTGATAAAGCCCATAATCAAATGGAATGCGATAATCTCAAATCCAAGCTAAGAATGATCAATGTAAATCCCCATCTTGAAGCAGGGTAAAATTATGGGATGAATCAATGCAGCGGATTATAGCTTTGCTCTGATTTGAAAGGAATTACGGCTACTAGAAATCAAGAAAAAGAGATGGAATGCATGGTGGGAGACAACCATCAAGGAGGGATTAAAGCAGTTAATTCAATCTAGAAATTAAATATGGAATAGGAGAACGGTTTTGCCATTTTCTGTCCCTGCAGTTACCGAAATCAAGCTACCATTCTGGCTGAAATCTAAGAGAATTCGGATGGCGCCTTCCCGCTATATGCTAGGTAAAAAAAGAAAAAAAAGAGACAAGAAGCCGCCCAATCCATGTTTGGAAAGCAGGGTATCATATGCAAACCCCTACTTAATTCCTGATGTAGAAAAGAAATATTATGTAGTTATTTTCCATCACTATTTTTCTTATTTTTCCTTCTTCAGTCCACAAAGTTTGCCTTGCACCTTCTACATAGACAGTAGTTTGTTGTCCTTGTTGGGATAAGGAAAAGAATTGTCTATCTTCATGATATGTTCTGCTTGTGTTTCTTCTCTTTGTTCTCTTCTTTTAAATAGAAATCATTACATAGCAAGGGTATCTAAAGCTATTGCTCCCCTCTCAAATTCGGGAGAAAAGAATTGTAACATTTTATATAAAATCTATAATCCATGTAAGAAATTCCTGATCGCTATCATCATCATTAGCCATATCTGGACAAATTGGTTTAACTTAATGAATCCTTACATCCCCCATTTATCCTTACCAAGTGCTACGCAAGATATTACCTCTATTTTGCATAAATTTGTGTAAAAGGAAATAATAAGAAAGGAATTTGGCAACAAGTTAGAAAAATAAATTATTGTCTAGTCATATAACTCATTATTTTGAATGAGAAAAGAATGCCTAAGGTGAACATAAAATAAGAAACTCCAAAAATAGTTGAAATGCAACTTCAAATTTATATTTTTTTCACTTCCATCTTCCCAATTTATGTATCGAATGTTTTCCTCTGCTAAACTAAATTCAAATGAATGACAAAACTACCAGTAAATAAGTAGAGCTCAAAATACCACGTAGTTTGAATACATACCTGAAGCCCAAAATTGCTAGCATTGCAATGATGAATGCCCTCCTCAACAGAGCTAATCCTAATCACTGGAAGCACAGGCCCAAAAGGTTCTTCCCAAGCAATCCTCATGTCAGGCCGCACATGATCTAAGAGTAATGGCCAAATGAGGTTTCCTTCCCTTCTATACTCCTGGCAAAAAGTTGCTCCTTTCTCCTTTGCATCCATAACTAAACTTTCAATGAAGTTAGCTGAGGATTCAGTCACCACAGGGGTGATATCACAATCCTCCTCAGGCGGGCCAACTGTAAGTTTTTCCACCTTAGCTTTTACTTTATCAACAACAGCATCAGCCACGGTCTCCATCACTAGGACAACTTTTACAGCTGTGCATCTCTGGCCACTGAAATGTCGATATAACAGAGGACAATTAATCAAGTTGTAGAATGAAAGATGTACGCTGAAAGAGCTAGCTAATGAGACTAAAGTATCGAAGCAAGTAGCCTCAATGTTGTTTTTTAAGACCTCATGCTGTAAATCTATTTCATGTTTGTATGAATTGATAAAAGGTACTGCAAGAATTCCTTTATTGGACATTAAATATGCTTGCCAAAAATCTCATCTTATTAAAAATGTGTATTATGCATCTTTGACTAGCATTAGAGTTAGTTTAAGATAGTAAAGGAAATTTATATGATAGAATCATATAAAAAATCTACTTTAATAGTGTATCCTTCTAAAGGTGACGATGTGCTTGTAGATTATATTGAAGGGAAATTATATTTATGCTATTTGCGATGATGTAGTTTTAATGGATGAGATCACTTTGACATGTTAGAAATTTAACGAATGGGTAATAAATAATAGTGAAGGTGACATTTATAACTATCAATTAATATGAGAATAATTAGGGAATACTAAAGTGTGATAGATTTAAGAATTTTGGCTCGATTATGCAAAAGAATGTATTTTAGATGGGTAAACAATTTCAAGTATTAATAACCAGTTGATTGAAATAGAAAAACACTTCAAGATTATTCTGTTATAAGAGAATAATATTGAGATTTAGAAATTAATTTCACGAAAATATAGTAAGATTGTTAGCATACAGGTCTGATTATTTGGTAACAAAGACATCATTCACAGCAAACTTAATTGTGGCAAAAATAAAACATTAAGCATGGATTTTGCAAAACTAACTGATAGTAAAAGAACTATTATATTAGAGGGAGAATGGGAGTTTCAGTTACAAAAGATATAGCAATGGGAATCCACTTAAGTGGTTTGAAATTTTCAAGAAAAGGCACAAGATGCGCTGGTAAGGATATTTGATGGAATAAGTATGAACGTAACATAAGGACAAGTGAAAACTCAAGATAACATATCAAAACCTATGACAGAATAAACTAACGTAAAAAGAGCTCATGGTTGAAAAAAAGGAAAGAAAAAGAAACTTTCATAAAATCAAATCTAAATAATTAGGATAAGGTTAATGATGATGATGATGATGACTATGAATAAATAGATCTGTAATTGAAAAAAATGATTTTGGGTCTAAATTGCTTAAGTATAAAAAATGGAAATTATATTGCAGACTTCACTTTTAATTTCTATTCATTTTCTATGTTTTCATCAGGAATCACCAATTGATTAACCCGGAATTTTATCTATCACCAGTTTAAGGGGGTTGAACGTATCACCTGTATGAAAAGCCTCCTTTCACGACATTGGAAGCAGCCAAATCTAAATCAGCATCTTCGAGGATAATGCATGCATATTTGCCTCCAAGTTCCATCTGGAGAGGGATCATGCCAGCTTTCTTAGAAATGGCAATTGCAGTATCACCACCAGTGAAGCTGCCATTAATCCACAGATTAGCAAGCAAAACCAATCATTAATATACCCAATTAAGAACAAATCTCATCAGTACTTGCAAAATCCGAAGTGTTCTAAGTGCACTAAGATTACCTTATACAATTGATCCCAGGGTGCATTGTCAGGAAATCACCTATCTCTGATCCCTTTCCTGTTATACAACTCATCAAACCTTTGGGGAATCCAGTGAGGTGAAAACAGTGGACCATGTGAAGCGCTGCAACTGCACCCTAGTTAAGAAATTTATATATATATATATATATATAACAATAATTTTAATTCATCTGCTAATTGGAATCGACGCTAATGAACTTCTACAATTAGCTGTACCTGTGTTGGAGGCTTAAGAACAAACGCATTGCCCGCTATTAGCGCAGGAGCAATTTTAGAGACAGCCAGGTTGACAGGATAGTTGAAAGGTGGAATTGCTAAGACTACACCAAGAGGAATCTGCAGGTGAATTGTATAAAAATAATCATGTTGAAATTTGTATCTTATTTTGAGAGGTCTATAAATATAAAATATAGAAGTCTGGGGATTATTTGTACATGATTTGTAAGGCAAAAAAAAAGCTTTTTATCAAAGTAATCATCACTATTTTTTCATGATATCGGAGCCAACATCGCCGCTGCCCGATCGACGATCGCATGCTAGCTGAGGAAGATAAAGACAGAATCGACAAAATGGTGGAAGCTTGTGGGAACTGCAGAGACGAAGCAAGCTAGGGCTTCGATCGAATCAAGAAAATTACACAAGAGACGGTATAGGCGAAGGGGACCATGGCTCTGTCGTGCGGAGCCACGAGCAGCATCGATCGCGGAAGGAGGAGGGCTTCGATCGCAGAAGTTGTCGTGCAGATCAATCGCTGAAGCAAATGGTGCAAGGCGATTCGGAAGGAGGAAACGCATAACCTAAATGTGATAAGGAGGAGGCAATTTCGCATAGTGCAAGGAGGAGATGATGCTTAACCTAAATACGATGAACAAGCTGAAGGGGAAGAAACTGTGGTCACTTTTGTTCTCGCGTCGTGCGTTGCAGCAGAGCACGCTAAAGGTATGGGTTGCAAAGGAGGAGAATGTGGAGAAGGTGCGGGCGGCTTTTCTCTCTATGTGCAAATTTTGAAGGAGAACTTGGTAGCCGGTAGAAGCGATGTCAGGGAAGGAGGAAACATGTAACTTCATAGGGGGCTTGTCATGAAGCACCACGGAACGACAACTTGATGCTATGTTTAGTAGATTTGGCAAGGTGCTGGATGTGTAGATTATGATGGAAAGCGATCTAGGGCAATCTCGTGGATTTGGATTTATGGCTTTTGCTGACAGACATGCAATGGAGGATGCTATGAGGGACGTGCAATGGACGATGCTATGAGGGAGATGCACAATAAAGAGCTGAAGAATCTACAAATATAGTGGTGGTGGCTACTCATCCAGTGGAGCGGGTGGAGAAATTCTCTTCTCGTTCTAGAACTGTTAAAGGTGAAAAAGTAGGCCATCGGGCAAATAAGATGGTAGCAAAGAACGAAGGAAAAACATGGGTAGTCTTTACCGATGAGAATCACAAATTACTGGAGATGTTGAAGAAAAAACAGAGAGCGGCAGAGAATGTGTTTGAGAATGCATCTGCCTTATCGCCATCTAAGGGAATACTGTTAGTTATGCTCACTCAGCCATAAATATTTGTGTTGCACATGTTGTTGCCTCAATATCCATCACAAGATCACTAGAATGGATAATAGATTCTGGTGCATCTCAACATGTGACATGTGTCATTAGTGAGTTTTCTTCCTACACTCACCTAGCAATTCCAGAGAGCATTCAGACCACTGATAGTATAACACAGCATGTGGTTGGTAAGAGTATAATGAGATACAAATTTTATGACTTAGTCTAATGTTTTGCATGCTTCTTCCTTTCCAGTGAATCTTTTATCCATTAGTGTCATTATAATCCAATTAAATTGTATTGTTTCATTTGATATTCCAAGGGTGATCTTTCAAGAGAAGGTGGCTGACCTAGACTTGGGACTGACACGTGGCATAGTGAACTCTGGTATTTAGATAGAGAGCAGAAAGATTTGAGAGAAGTATGAAGGATGTTTTGCTACTACATCAAAGACCCATGAGACACTCTTTATTTAGTCCAGTGAGTCATTTGTATCCATCTTTATATAAAAAACAATAAACATAAACTTGTGTGTGATGCTTGTAAATTTGGTAAGCATATCAGGAGGTCTTATGTTAGTTCTGGGAACATGAGTTCTTATGTTTTTTATTTGGCGCACTCAAATATATGGAGACCTTGTTTTACAACTTCTATGGAATAATTACAAATATTTTTTGCCTTTCATCGATTGTTTTTCTCGTGTTACTTGATTATATCTGATGAAAAATAAAAGTGATGGGCTTGCATGATTTAAAGACTTTCACAAGTCGATTCAAACTCAATACGGTGTTGGAGTGAAGGTATTGAGGTTTGATAATGAGACAGAGTATACCAACAAGGTGTTTGGGAAATACTTGTCAGCCCAAGGGATACAACATCAAACCACATATTCATACACACCGATACAAAACAAAGTAGCTAAGAGAAAGAATAAACACATTCCAAAGGTAGCTCGGAGCGTGATGATCATGATGAATGCCCCAAAACACTTATGAGGGCAAGCGGTTTTGACGCCGACTCAATTGATCAACACAATACCTTCGAGAGTGTTAGATTAAAAGTCTCATTGTCATATGTTGAAAGGAGATAATAACGGAATCCTCCCATTGAAGGTTTTTGACTGTGCATGTTTTATGAAGACAACAGACTATCAATAGAGAAACTGAATTGTAGAGTTGTGAAGTGTGTTTTCATGGGTTATTCTGCTACCAAAAATGGGTAACATACCTCCTCCCCTTGTTTTCCTTTCTTCCGCTTTCTATTTTCTTCCTAGTTTGTCCTAATTTAAAACTTTTCTTAAAAGCCTAAAATCTAATTTGATTCTCCTTTCCTAATTCAAAAACTTTTCTAAAAAATTGAGATATGATTTTATTTCCTCCCTAATTTAAAACATTTCCTAAAAGCCTAAAATATGATTTGATTCTCTTCCCCTTAAATCTGAGATTTGATTTTATTCTCTTTCTTAATTAAATTTATTCACAAAAAAAAAAAATATAAATTAGTGCAGGAAAACTTAAAAAATGTAAATTATTAGGCACAAAGAATTTAAGCGTGATTCAACCAAAACCTCTAAGGCACCTCCACACCTAGCCAACACCCAGACTGAGAACGCACTACTAAAAATTTAAAAATCCTTCAACAAAGCAAAAAAGTCCTACACCGACGATCTAGTTTTATGTGAGTGTAACCCAACGTACTCTACAACCTCGCCATACTCTTCTAAATCGAGCAAGTACAATCCCACTATAAACTCATACGCCTGGTGAATACAACCTCAACTTTTTTAATCAAGTGAAATTTTTCTATAACCAAATTTTTTTCGAACTTTGAGGTGATTGGAATAATCATCTTCTACTAAACTCAAAATATTTTAATAGATTATCAATAAAAACTTACTATTTAAATGCAAGTAGTAAACTATGACACTTTACAAATTATCCTCATGATTGAGATTATCAAAGTGATTTAAATCTCAAAATGTGTAAATTTGATTTTATCAATCCAAAAATATTTAGGTAAATTGAAATTAAAATTATTACAAAAAGATCTTAATAAAATATTTTTAGCAAAGTGAAATTCAACTAATGTAATTTTTTATTTTGGCGAGCTGGCATGGGAACAGATTGGACCGCATGATTAAAGCTTTTGAGTTAACGCGAGGACTCTAGTGACTTGAAGACAAAGACAAGATCCAAGGTGCAAAATAAAGAGAAAGAGATCAGGGAGTAGCTATGAAAGGCATGAGTGGGAGCTGGCCAAAGTGGCAGGGTTTGGGTCTTCCTCCTCTCTTACCTCCAAAGTGGTTGCAAATGGCAGAGATTGGCTAGTGCTGTTAACATGTTGCTGCTACATAGTGTAAAATTGGAAGTTTGTTTGCGAAATATGTAAAATCTAAAATTTTGAGTTCTATGTATGTAAACCCCCATTAATAAAAGTATCAAGGCTAAATTTAGAATGTATATATATATATTACACAAACTTATGAAAGTAAACAATAAATTAAAAAAATAGTGCGCGTATTAAAAGGAAGCACAAATCAAAGAAAGAATATGATTAGCAAGAAATTCTGCAATTTCGCGCTCTGCGCTACAACAACAACAGCAACAATAAGCCTTTATCCCATTAAGTGCATTTGGCTACATGAATCATTTTTCCCCATTGCATCATATTGAGTCATATTTTCATTTAATTCTAATAAATTAAGATCTTTTTTTTTTTATACAATATGCCCAAATCTTTCTAAGTCTACCTCTATCGTTCTTAACATAAGTTGAATCTAAAACATCTCCTTTCCTAACCAGATCATTAGATGGTCAACGTTTAATGTGACCAAACCACCTAAGACGGCTCCCTCTAATTCCCACCATTAGAGCTACACCAACCCTATCACGAATATATTCATTTCACATTTTGTCTCTAAGTGTAAGGCCACTCATCCACCTAAGCATTCTCATCTCGACAACACTTAACTTAGTTTTATGCTTCTCTTTTAAAGGACAACATTCTTATAAAATTTTTCTTTCAGTCTAAACGGTACTTTTCTATCACACAATAGACCCGAAGCATTCCTCCACTTCAACCAACCAACTTGAATTCTACTAATAACATACCATCTATATCACCATCATTTTGAACAATATACCCGAGATATTTAAAGCGTTTACAACTTTTAATGATTTGATCAACTATGGTTACAACTTTGTCACTAGAGCTACTACTACTAAAATTACATTTCATGTATTAAGTTTTAGTTCTACTCAAACGAAGACCTTTAGACTCCAATGTAGAGTTCCATAATTCAAGTTTTTCCTGAGCTATTTTTCTAATCTTATTCACAAGAAGAATATCATTAGTGAAAAACATACACCAAGATACATCCTCCTATAAATGTCCAGTAACAACATCCATAACTAAAGCAAAAAGATATGAGCTTAAAGTTGATCCCTAATGTAATCGAATTGAAATAGGAAAATATTTGGTCTATCCTCCTTCTGTTTGAACACAAATAACAACTCTAGTATACATATCTTTAATAACTTGAATATAAGTTATATCAACACCTCCTTGTCTAGAACTCTCCAAAGGATATCTATTGAACCTTATAGTAAGTTTTTTTCTAAATCAATAAAAATCATATGTAGATCCTCATTATTCTCTGTGCTTCTCCATCAAACCTCTCAATAATTTTATAATTTCCATGGTAGATCTGTTTGACATAAATCCAAACTAATTATAAGGAATCTTTGCAATACGTCTTAAATTATGTTCAATTATCCTCTCCCATAA